CAGACAGGTGAGCAGCCAGGGGGGCGGGGCCTCAGGACTCTGACAGGTGAGACAGACTGACAGAAAGACAGGGGAGGAGTCGAGGGGGCGGGGCCTCAGTGCTCTGACAAGTGAGACAGACAGACAGACAGGTGAGGAGCGAGCCGGGGGGCGGGGCCTCAAGTCTCTGACAGGTCGGAGAGACAGGTGAAGAGCAGGGGGGGCGGGGCCTCAGGTCTGACAGGTCAGACAGACAGACAGACAGTGGAGTAGTCGAGGGGTGGGGCCTCATGGCTCTGACAGGTGAGACAGACAGGTTTGTGTGTGTGGTGGTGGGGCTGGGGGGGTGTTCAGGGCTCTGACCGGTTGGACACCTGAGGATCCAGGTGAGTCTCGTTCCAGGGGTCTGCAGCCTGCAGCTCTTTCAACCTTTGCCCCAAACTAACATCAAACTGAACTTTATTGTTGTTGTACTAAAATAAAAAGGGTCATTTTAACACCAAAGTTCATGCTCAGTAATCAGGTCATCTGGACGCTTTTTTTTCTGAGACGTTTCATCCTTCATCCAAAAGACTTCTTCCATCTGAGGAGCCACCAACAAACAGACTCCCCTAATGGAAAAAACAGCTGTTCGGTCATTTAAACAGTTTTAAACAGTTTTAAACAGTTTTGTAGTTTTTCACATTTTTAACAGTTTTAACAGTTTTGCAATTTTCACAGTTTTAACAGTTTTTTTTAGTTTTAATAGTTTTAACAGATTTGGTAGTTAACAGTTTTAACATTGTTAACAGTTTTAGAAGTTTTGTAGTTTTAACATTTGTAACAGTTTTAACAGTTTGTAGTACAAAGTATTAACAGATTTCACAGTTTGTAGTTTTTGAACAGTTCGTGGTGCTGAGGGAAGAACAGGTTTTTGGAGAAACATGGCGGAGGGAGAATCATGGAAACAGGTTGGAATTTAAAAAACTTTTGGACAGATAACAACAAGTCCATTTTGGACAGATAATGGGATTTTGAACAACTTTTTTGAATTTTGGAAATAGCGGAGTGGCATAAACTGTTGTGTGAATGGTTCGGATGGAAACACCGATAGGAGACGAGGCAGATATTGAAGGGTGGACACCGGTAGGTTGAGTGAGAGGATGAGAAAGAAATCAAATTGAGGAAGGGATGTTAAACACAACCAGGGTAATAAAAGAGACTTGGAAGGATAGTAAGAAGAAAAGTAGCGAGGGAGGAAGTTAAAATAATATTAAAACTATAGAACAAGGAAGGGCAGCCCCATTTTGATGTCCAGAGAAATAAAAAAGAAGATTGGGGAGGTAGACATGGTGAAGGTGTTAATGGAACCTTTTAGTGACTTGTAAAACTGAACAACAACAACAAATGATTTGCATGTTGAGAACATTTGTAAAATAATGGCAATGGAAAGGAAAATAATTAGAGAAAATAAAATAGTTCTGAGTGATTTATGGTATTCCACTAGATGAGGACCTAGATAAAATAAAAAGAAGCATTGTTGATGCACAGGTAAATAACTGAAAAAGACTGTTAATGGGGAGAGAGTAGGGTGTCTCTCAGTAATGATCGAGTTTGAAGAAACAGTTTTACCAAAAAAACACCAAAATAGGGTATATGAGTTTCCAGATTAGGTCTTCCATCCCACCACTTTGCTGTTACAAATGTCACAGATATGGACACATAGCAGAAGCGTGCAAAGGAAAACAGAGGTGTCCAAAATGTAGAGAAGATGACAGAATAGAACAATGTAGAGAAGAAAAGGAGAAATGTAACTGTTGCAGTAATGTAGGGACAGCTTTCGCTGTAACATACTACTAATTGATTATTCTTAAAGCTAGTTTAAGCACAAAGAATAATATTTGTTCAATTACAACGGATTCTTTCTTTTTCGAGTTAAATTTCTACCATGTGACCGAGATAACTTGAGAGTGGAGGGTATAATTAGTGACATGAGACGTAATTTATCTTTGACCCATCAGAATAAATGAGGTCATTTATTTAACAGAATCAAAATTTAACATCAAAACATTGTACACATTGATTTGCTGATCTGTTTCTGATTAATAAACTTGGCACGATTTGCTAAACAAGACAACAGAAGATTACTGATGGAGAATGATTCATCTCTGAAGGCATCTAGCTTGATTTACTGGCAAATAGAAGTTTAAAGATTTAAAGAGGAGGTTTAGATGGATGAGGGAAGATGTGTTGAACCAAAAAATGGCACCCTTCCTCCGAATCCAGCTCAGCCCTCCGGTACACTCAGGGCGTCAACGGCTTGTTACCTGAGCAGAGGATACATCAACTCCAGAACAGAGGTCCATTGGCATGCTACCTTTTCAGCGTCTCCAGTCAGGGTGGCTGAGAATCTTTAGAAGTAGTTCCATATGCTCCGATCAACAGAATAAGGTTCCTTCGAAGTTGAGAGCATTTACTGCTCGGGGTGAGTCTACTGCGAGGCACACTGTGACTACGCTGGAATGGAGGGACCCTTGGCACATGGTCCAATCCATCAGCTGCAGTATTTAGTTCAGCTGTAAGACTCCATCAGACTGAGTCTCATCTTCAACTGAAAGTTCCAGGAAGACTGGAAAGACCGAAAGACTGGAAAAGACTGAATAGTTCCAAGAATTGTTGCCTTTTAAAGGGTATCCACTTCCTGTCACTTGGTACTCCCTGATTGGTTGAAACAACCAGCAGGGGTGTAGTTTTAGTGATGTCAGAGGGTTATTAGAAGTCAGCAGACAGCAGAAATGTTTTTAAGAACGGTTAGTACAGACAGAGAAAATTTTTTTGAAGTAGTGAGAGACAGCAGGTGCCAGCCAGTTCTTATTTACTGTCTGAGAGTTTTAAAAAACAAGGCACTTCGTTCTCATAACTTGTTCTCTGACTTTTGGCAGACATCAAAACTCCACTCCTCATTCAGACAGAAAACTAAAATGCACACTTACTTTGTAAATGGACATTTAACTTGTATGATCCAAGTCTAATGAGGTTTAAAAATCATTAATACTGTTTCACAGTTGATTTAAATGAGTGGTTCACTTCAACATTAGAAATGGTATGAATTAAACACACTTTTGATTATCAAGATATTGTAAAATAGTTAATGATAATATAAAAAGAAGAGTGTTCTTTCAATTGACTAATTCAGGATATAATTAAATAGTCTCTTGATGAGATTATTTGTATTTCTGGATTAAAATCAATGAAATAACAGTTCCTGTCCCCTGAAGGTCCTCGGAGACAGATTGATGTCAGAGGTCTAGTTCACTACACTGTAGAAACCAACATATAGTTATATATGGGGGGGGGGGGGGGATGAAAACAGAAAAAAAAAATTCCTACTGATTAAAGTAACTAAAAACACCACATATGCAGAGGTAGTCAAAAGTGTAAGAGGACAAAAGTCAAGAGAGACTGTCACAAAAGGCTGGTGCTGGTGAACCCAATGGTGCAGGCAGGCAAGGACTCAGGATGGATATATATAAAAATAAATATTTTTTTAACAAAACAAAAGAGCTGACAGGGCTGCAAAACAAACATGGAATGAACAGGGGGTACTCATGATACAGATAGGTCATCATCATTGAACAGAAGACAATGCCAGGACAAAAAGTAAAACAAACACACAGGCTTAAATACAGGAAACACCAATTACACAAAGTGAAGGCACCTTTGAGTGATCACAATGCCAAAAACAGAGACTAAGGTAGTTTTCACACCAGATAGTCCGGTAGACTCGGTTCAGTTCGGGACCAATATTCATGATCTTTTGTTTACATTTGAGCTGGTGCGTTTGCATTCACACTGCACCCCTCCCTCATTGGGTGTCTCCAGACATCCAAGAGCCCACCCCTCAAAGAAGGGTGGGAAGAGGGAGAAAACAGGCCGGACAGCACAAGGAAACACACGAGGGGGACCAGGACAGGAAACACACACAAAAAAAAACTCAAAACAAAAAGTTCAAGTTCAAGTTGTGTTTATTTGCCATATGCAGGTTAACACAGGGTTAATAGTATAATGGAATGTTTAGGATGAGAAGAACTGATTTGACTTGCTAAAAAAAAATCAAAGAACAAACCAACAAGAAAATCCAAAAAGCATGCAATAAGGGTACACAAAAAATTACCAAAAAGTGAAAAAGTAATTAAATATTTACAATGTCCTAAAGAAAGACATTAAATAACAACATGGTAGAATATAAAGGTGCAGAAGGATGAATTTGAATGAATAAGTATTTCGAGGTAGAAATACAGGACAGGAAATACACACGAAAACAAAAAGGTTCAGAGAGTCACAAGACCATACCAAAGCAGGCCATGTCCAAAACCCTGGAGCAGGTCAGGCGAGGAGCCTGGACTAGATGAACAACCTGGATGAGGCGAGAAGACCCCAGGTGCTACAGGCGGCGTATAGACAGGGTAGGTGGCATATAGACCTCCGTGAGCAACGGCTGAGGCTGGCTCGGACTCTGCATCGGTTGAGGCTGGCTCGGACTCTGCATCAGCTGGGAAGACATGGCTGCCTCAGGTATGACGGAAGGCGTAGCTAAAGCTGTCGTCAAGACCCCAGGAGAAGCTAGGACCACAGGTGGAGCGAGGACCCCAGGTGGAGTGAGGACATCAGGGGGAGACAAAGCCCCTGGATGAGGCGATGAAATAAGGTGAGGTGATGGACCAAGGCGAGGTAGAGACCCAGGCGATGTAGGAACCACCTCAGGGGCTGCATGCCATGTGGAGACCACCTCAGGCACTGCATGTGGCG